CTGGTCCCATCTTCCACTCCCTGGGTTCTAATTCCAGGGATGCCGATCTTCAGTGGGATAACTGCTTCAGTGCCATATGCCATGGCAAAAGGAGACTCCCTAGTTGATCTCCTCGGCATAGTCCGATATGCCCAAAGTACATTAGGTAACTCTTCCACCATTTTCCCTTTGTTGTTTCCAACCTCTTCTTTTTCTCATCCAAGATGGTCTTGTTGGATGCTTCTGCCTGACCATTACTTTGGGAGAAACTTAGAGTAAAGTAATAATTCTTAATTTTGTACTTGGCACAAAAGCTCTGGATCAATTTACTATCAAATTGGGTGCCATTGTCTGCCACAATGACTCTTAGAATCCCAAACCTGGTGATTATGTTCTTCAAGATGAAATTCTCCACATCAATATCTCGGATTTTGTCCAAGGGTTCTGCCTCTACCCACTTTGTAAAAAAGTCAGTTGCCACTAGCAAGAACTTTCTCCGTCCAGTTGCCTAGGGCAATTGTCCCACTAGGTCCATGCCTCACTGAGTAAGCGGCCAAGGACTAGACATTGGGTTCAGATCTGTTGCTGGCTGATATATCAAAGGTACAAACCTTTGACGCTTCTCACATTTCTTGACATAGGCTTCCACATCCTTCTGTATGTAGGGCGACTAGTACCCCTGGGATATGGCACTATGGGGAAGTGATTTGCTCCCAACATGGCTTCCACATACTTCTTCAGATATTTCATACAAGAAATCCTCAACCTGGGATGGATTCACACATCTTAGAACGGGCCCAGTGAAGGATCTTTTGTAGAGATGGCCTTCTGCGGACAAGCAGAACCTGGCCGACTTCACTCTGGTCTTATGCACCTCTTTTGGTTATCCGGCAGCTTGCCATTTCTTAGGAACATTACTATTACATCCATCCAGCTCGATCCCCTTTATACACACATTGCTTCGTACTCTGTGATCAGTGGTTCTACATTTGGCCTAGACAAATAATCAACCATTATTGTCCTTGCCTCCCCTGATTTCATTGCACTAGCCAGGTTAGCCAAGGCATCGGCTTGACTATTATCATCTCGGCTAACCTGCTGTAGCCGACAACCCTGGAACAATGCTAGCATCTTGACAACCTCTTTGACATAGGCTATCATTCGTTCATCTCGGGCTGCATACTCGCATGTTACCTGATTCACAATAAGTTGGAGTCATAGAAGACTACCACCTTTTCAACTTCCATTGTTGCTACTAACTTCAACCCTGCAATCAGTGCCTCATACTCTGCTTCATTGTTTGAGGACTTAAACGCCAAACAAATAAACTACTCTATCATTCGCCCATGTGGCGATACTAACACTACTCCTGCCCCCGCTCCTTGACTGTTTGAGCTTTCATTAACAAACAGGCAGAAGGAGTCACTGATGTAGATGTCACAGGGCTTTGGTTTCTTTGGTTTCTTTTGTTTTGTTGGAGTAGCTAGATCAAACTTAGTTTAACTCTGCCGTAGTGGCAAGTCTAAGTTACCCGTCATGTTTCATTCGGAAACATCGCCAACTTAGTTCAACTCTATCATATGGAAAGTATAATTCAAGTCTACAATTTGATAAGTCTAAGTTACTCATCATGTTTTAATCGGAAATATCGCAAACTTAGTTCAACTCTATCATATGACAAGTATAATTTAACTTTACTATATGATAAGTCCAAGTTATTCGTCATGTTTCAATCGAAAACATCGCTAACTTAGTTCAACTCTATCATATGACAAGTATAATTTAACTTTACTATATGATAAGTCCAAGTTATTCGTCATGTTTCAATCGAAAACATCGCTAACTTAGTTCAACTCTATCATATGACAAGTATAATTTAACTTTACTATATGATAAGTCCAAGTTATTCGTCATGTTTCAATCGAAAACATCGCTAACTTAGTTCAACTCTATCATATGACAAGTATAATTTAACTTTACTATATGATAAGTCCAAGTTATTCGTCATGTTTCAATCGAAAACATCGCTAACTTAGTTCAACTCTATCATATGACAAGTATAATTTAACTTTACTATATGATAAGTCCAAGTTATTCGTCATGTTTCAATCGAAAACATCGCTAACTTAGTTCAACTCTATCATATGACAAGTATAATTTAACTTTACTATATGATAAGTCCAAGTTATTCGTCATGTTTCAATCGAAAACATCGCTAACTTAGTTCAACTCTATCATATGACAAGTATAATTTAACTTTACTATATGATAAGTCCAAGTTATTCGTCATGTTTCAATCGAAAACATCGCTAACTTAGTTCAACTCTATCATATGACAAGTATAATTTAACTTTACTATATGATAAGTCCAAGTTATTCGTCATGTTTCAATCGAAAACATCGCTAACTTAGTTCAACTCTATCATATAGCAAGTATAATTCAACTCTACCATATGATAAGTCTAAGTTATTCATCATGTTTCATCAAAAACATCGCCAACTTAGTTCAACTCTATTATATGCAAGTATAATTCAACTCTACCATATAATAAGTCTTAGTTATTCGTTATGTTTCATTCAAAAACATCGCCAACTTAGTTTAACTCTATTATATGCAAGTATAATTCACCTCTGCCATATAACAAGTCTAAGTTATTCGGCATGTTTCATTTAGAAACATCGTCATAGGATTGGTCAGTCCTATCACCCAAATTTTAAATTCATGAAAATCAAACTAGCATTTTATTATTACTTCGGTTAATAACTCCGAAAAACAAAAAACTAATGATAAAAAAAATTCAAATTGTAAGTGTTCCGGGGCCTTGGAAACTCCTTGCCATTAGTGTCTTCAAGCCGATATCTCCATTGCCGGCAACCGAGATGATTTTATAAGGCCCCTCCCAGTTTGGGCCAAGTTTTCCCTCCTTAGGATCCTTCTTGTTGCCAATAACTTTTCTCAGGACGAGGTCTCCAACCTTGAAGTCTCTTGGGTTAACCTTCTTCTTGTAAGCCCTAGCAAGTTGTTGCTGGTATGCCCCCAGCCGAACTGTTACTCTCTTCCTTCTTTCTTCTAGTAGATCTAGATCTCAGGCTAAGAATGCCTCACTGGTCCCATCTTCCACTCCCTGGGTTCTAATTCCAGGGATGCCGATCTTCAGTGGGATAACTGCTTCAGTGCCATATGCCATGGCAAAAGGAGACTCCCTAGTTGATCTCCTCGGCATAGTCCGATATGCCCAAAGTACATTAGGTAACTCTTCCACCATTTTCCCTTTGTTGTTTCCAACCTCTTCTTGATCTCATCCAAGATGGTCTTGTTGGATGCTTCTGCCTGACCATTACTTTGGGAGAAACTTAGAGTAAAGTAATAATTCTTAATTTTGTACTTGGCACAAAAGCTCTGGATCAATTTACTATCAAATTGGGTGCCATTGTCTGCCACAATGACTCTTAGAATCCCAAACCTGGTGATTATGTTCTTCAAGATGAAATTCTCCACATCAATATCTCGGATTTTGTCCAAGGGTTCTGCCTCTACCCACTTTGTAAAAAAGTCAGTTGCCACTAGCAAGAACTTTCTCCGTCCAGTTGCCTAGGGCAATTGTCCCACTAGGTCCATGCCTCACTGAGTAAGCGGCCAAGGACTAGACATTGGGTTCAGATCTGTTGCTGGCTGATATATCAAAGGTACAAACCTTTGACGCTTCTCACATTTCTTGACATAGGCTTCCACATCCTTCTGTATGTAGGGCGACTAGTACCCCTGGGATATGGCACTATGGGTAAGTGATTTGCTCCTAACATGGCTTCCACATACTTCTTCAGATATTTCATACAAGAAATCCTCAACCTGGGATGGATTCACACATCTTAGAACGGGCCCAGTGAAGGATCTTTTGTAGAGATGGCCTTCTGCGGACAAGCAGAACCTGGCCGACTTCACTCTGGTCTTATGCACCTCTTTTGGTTATCCGGCAGCTTGCCATTTCTTAGGAACATTACTATTACATCCATCCAGCTCGATCCCCTTTATACACACATTGCTTCGTACTCTGTGATCAGTGGTTCTACATTTGGCCTAGACAAATAATCAACCATTATTGTCCTTGCCTCCCCTGATTTCATTGCACTAGCCAGGTTAGCCAAGGCATCGGCTTGACTATTATCATCTCGGCTAACCTGCTGTAGCCGACAACCCTGGAACAATGCTAGCATCTTGACAACCTCTTTGACATAGGCTATCATTCGTTCATCTCGGGCTGCATACTCGCATGTTACCTGATTCACAATAAGTTGGAGTCATAGAAGACTACCACCTTTTCAACTTCCATTGTTGCTACTAACTTCAACCCTGCAATCAGTGCCTCATACTCTGCTTCATTGTTTGAGGACTTAAACGCCAAACAAATAAACTACTCTATCATTCGCCCATGTGGCGATACTAACACTACTCCTGCCCCCGCTCCTTGACTGTTTGAGCTTTCATTAACAAACAGGCAGAAGGAGTCACTGATGTAGATGTCACAGGGCTTTGGTTTCTTTGGTTTCTTTTGTTTTGTTGGAGTAGGGTTCTTGGGCCCCAGTTGGGTTTTCTTTGGCTCGCCTGGACAACCGAGGATGCAGCACACCGAAGCCCGATGTGGGGTGCTACCTAGGGTAAATTTGGCCACAAAGTTGGCCAAAACTTGACTCTTGATCGCTATTCTAGGCCTGAATTCTGAGTCGTATTGGCCTAGTACCACTGCACACCTAGTTATTCTACCTATCAAATCACCATGTTGCAATAGAGACTTCAGGGGATGCTCAGTTAGCACCACAATCTTGTGGGCTTGGAAGTAGTGATTCAATTTTTTCGAAGCCATCACCAAGGCTAGTGTCAATTTTTCTAAGGGCATGTACCTGGTTTCTGCACTTGCTAGGGTCTTACTTACATAGTATACTGCCTTTTGCTCTCTTTCCTCTTCCCTGATTACCATTGCACTCATTGCGTGCTCTGAAACTGCCAAGTATAGGAACAACTCTTACCCAGGTATTGGATTTGACAGAATTGGAGTTGTTGTTAAGTACCTGTTCAAGTCAGCCAATGCGACTTTGCACTCTTCTGTCCACAAAAAATCTGTGGCTTTCTTTAACAAACTAAAAAATGGTCTACACTTATTAGAACTTCGGCTAATAAACCTATTCAGGGTTGTTGCCTTACCAGTCAAAATCTGGACTTGCTTGGCTAATGTCAAGCCCTTTAAGTCAAGAATGGCCTTGATTTGATCTGGGCTTGCCTCAATGCCCCTTTTGGTAACCAAGTATCCCAAGAACTTACCAGACCCGACTCCAAATGCACATTTCGAAACATTGAGTCGGAGCCGATATGTTCTCAGGCTATCAAAAACTACCTTCAAGTCGACTAGGTGATTCCTAGGTTTTTTGGTCTTCACGACCATGTCATCAATGTATACTTCTACTATCTTGCCAATCAAATGTTTGAACATCTTAGTCACTAACCTCTAGTAGGTTGCTCCTGCATTTTTCAACCCAAAAGGCATCACTCTGTAATAACACAACCCTTTTGGGTTGATGAATGCAGTCTTCTCCTCGTCAGGGGGATACATTCCTATTTGGTGGTATCCCTTGTAAGCATTTAAGAAGCTCATCCTCTCATGCCCTGAAGTGGCATCCACCAGCTGATCAATTTTAGGCAAAGGGAAGTTGTCTTTAGGACAAGCCTTATTCAGGCTAGTGAAGTCCATGCAGACCCTCCACTTCCCATTCTTCTTTTTCACAACTACTGTGTTTGACAGCTAGGTTGGATAGTTCACATCCCAAATGGCCCTAGCTTCTAACAGTTTGTCCACTTCATCATCTACTGCCTCCACATGAATCAATGTTGGCCTTCTGGCCTGTTGGATGACATGTTTAGCTGACCTATCTACATTAAGTCTATGGCAAGTGACCTCAGGGTCAATGCTAGGCATCTCGTATGGCGTCCAAGCAAATACTTTTATGTTTGCTCGCAAGAAAGCCTCTAACTCCCTTTCCTCCTCCTCGGCTAAACTTGAGCCGAGAAGAAAGAAGCGCTCTTCGTCACCTTCTTGAACCAGAATTTTCTTCAAAGCCTCCTCACTCTTGTCAGCTGGTTCTTTGCCGACATCATCTAGGACCTCCATATCCTCATCTTCCATTTTCACTGTCTTTGTATCGCACACATTACAAGTGGACTTCATTGCTGCCATGGAGTAATTTTTTGCCTGCACTTGATCCCCCTTTGACCTCCTCAATACCATGTTTAGTTGGGAATCGCAACAGCTGGTGCAATGTTGAGGGAACAACCCTCATTGCATGCAACAACGGTCTACCCAAGATAATATTATAAGGGAAGGGGGTGTCAATTACTGTGAACTCCGTGCTTACCTACTTCGTGCTTGCCTGCACTTCCAAATTCGTGGCTCCTAGAGGCCATAACAGTGTTCTATTGAACCCAACCATTGGGTTGTTGGACTGTTCCAGATTATTTGGGTGAAGGCCAAGTTCCTTATAACATCTAATATACACGATGTCACAAGAACTGCCTTGATCAACCAGTATGCGCCTTACCTGGTACTCCCAAATCTTCAGCGTTATCACCAAGGCGTCATTGTGTGGATGCTGCACCATATCCAGGTCTGCCTCGGTAAAAGAGACTATTGGTCCCTGATACTCATTAGTCCTAGGCTTCTTTTGCTGGACTTGATACACATGTTGCAGGCGCCTCACTCTCTGAGTCTTCCCACGCACCTCATTCTCATTGACTTTCGAGTGAATCACATTGATCACCCGAAGTCTATCTGCTTGCTGTGGTGGCGGTGGTGCTGCTGCCGATGCATGGGGTAGCCTTGCCTGCTCTTCCCTTGTTCTGGCCTTATCTACTAGGTCTCTCAAATGATCCTGTCTGACCAGATCCTCCAAGTGCGTCTTCAGAGCCCTACACCCCTGGAGAATGAACACAGTGGTGACTGCCTTTATATCCCCATCTCAAGCCTGTCTCTTGCCTGTTAAAACCTGTGTTACCTCGGCCTCGCTTCGACGAGCCATTTCTCTTCTCCTACTTTGGTCCCTTTGCCCCGTGTTTGTCTTCCTCTGCTCTGGCATATTTCTCAATTTGTTCCATGAGCTCCTTCATACTCTTTGGTAGAGTTTTTGAAAGTGATTTTCAAAGCGGGCATTCATTCTCCAGGCCGTTTTTAAAAGATACGATCGCCAGCTCCTGGTTGCATGTCGGTATTTGGTTGAACACCTCATAATATTGTTTGGTCTAAGCCCTGAGGCTTTCCTCTTCGCTAATGTTTAAAGCCAGCAGAGAGTCTACCCTTAGTGGCTGTAACTTATTTGTTACAAACCTGGCCACAAACATCTCAGCCAAGCCTTCCTAACTCTTCACAGTTCCTTTCGGCAACTTGTGGAACCAATTCGACGCAATTTCCCCAAAGGATAAAGGGAACATTTTGCACAGCAGCTACTCGTTCCCATTATACAAATCCATTGAATTCAAATACAAGTTGACATGAAAGTTTGGATCAAACTTACAGTCATAAACCTGGAACCTCAGCATATGAAATCTTTTTGGGCCCTCAAACCTATCCAACTCCATTAAGAACGGCATTCTCTGTTTGATGGGGGATGTGACCTCGGCATTGAGTCGCTTCCTCTGGAGGTAGTCTCTCAGATCCTCCTTCATTTGACTGGGCGCTGGGCTATCAACAGATTTCAACCTTTTTGGTGAGCTGCTCCCGGCATCGTGGTGTGTCCTCTTGGATTTTTCTTCATTCACTGTATGAAAGCAAAGTCTCTTCCCCTAGACATGCCGTTGTTCTTTGTCATAGGTTCCCTTGGTATGAGGCGTCCTCTACGACTCACCTCTTACTGACTCTACTCGCCCGACATCCCGTGAAGGTTGATGTAAACGTTCCTTCTCCTTGTCATGCTGAAGGACTACTGGGATTGCTTTATGCCCTCCTTTCTAGGCGTCGGTCTTGGCTGCTGGTATCGACATGTCCTGCAACGGGTACGATGGCTACATTACGTTGTTCTGTATCATGAAGTTAACAACTGATTGTAGGTCTATCAACTTGTTTGTCATCTCCTTCATCTCGCCGTCCCTCCTTAGGTATCTATCCTTCCATACCTGGAGGTCGCTCTCGTTGTAATATTCATCTTAGCCTGCTTTTTTTGGGGCGTCTCCCTCTTTGCTAACATCCTTCTCCTAATGATTCTGATCCCGTGCTCCTTCATTACGATTTTCTTCCTCGATGTTTGGATCAACATGTTTACCACTCCCACCTAGGACGTCATCCCCGATCCTTTCTCCCTGCCCATTGTTGGCCATCTATTCTCTTTAAATTTCCACAGATGGCGCCAAATTGTTGGTGTCGATTTTTGACCACATAACCAAACGGGAAACTCAGCTGGAGAGCACCAGCAAAATAGATTAAGCCCAACAACCTGCACAAGAAGATGAGAATTTGACGGTGGTTCATCCACCCAAGGGCACTTTGACGATCAAGTCAATAATCAATATCTCTTAAAGATAACAAATTATGCTTAAACTCACAAGAAATAACTTACCTCAAACCCATAAGGGTACCTTACTTTTATAGCTAGTAGTGACCCGATCTCATTAGAAGTCTCACTTCAATGGACTCAAGCTCAATGCTCATCTTAGACCTTCATCTAGATAGAGATAAACCCTTCTTGAGCCTTATCTTTATCCAAACTGAAATCCTCTCCTGTTCTAGGACTCTTGTCCCTTATCCGCTCATCTCGGATTCCGGTATCCCCGCAGATAACCTCAGCCTAACTGAGACCACCTCAGCGCATGACCAAGCCATGTGGCACCTCGGCTGACATTTCAGCGTTACCTTAGCCATGTGTTGCCATTCACAAAATAAGTCCCCACACTTCTCATGTTTGGTTGACTAAAAGAATAATGAAAAATTCATTACAATGGGAATCATCATTAACCATTATAAGGGAATAATCATTTCATAGGGAAGTGTAAGGAATAACCATTTCATTTTATTTCATCTCATTCCAGTGAATCAAATAAAGCATAAACGAGATTGAAGTTTTTCAAATATGATTAGTGTTCTGATAAATGATTTGGGTGATTTTGGTAAATGTGTGAATTAGGTTTCCTTTTTTAACATGCAAAGTAATGTTCTGTGATCTTTTGTTTTTATTTGGTTGTTAAAAATTAAAATTATAGTGAGAAAGAAATAAGCCCATTATAATTAAATTATAGCACAATTAAGTAATCAAATAGTCATTGTATAGCCATTGGTATTTAAACCTTATCTATTTATAGCACTATTAAATGCGTTATTTCTTCACTATAGATCTGGGGTGTTTCAACCTCTTCAACAACCTTGAAGTTCATTTTAATTCAAATTATGGACAACATTCATATTTTTGGTGATGTATGTTTAGTTTATATTTTATGAATTGAGGCTTAATTTCTTACTTATTATTTATAATTTTTCTCATAATCAAATGTTTTTGTATTATTTTTTACAGGTGGATGATATGTTAGAGGAAACAGTAATATTAAATCTCCATACTCATTGTTTATTTGATCTACATTTCTTAATATAAATTTTCTTTTACCTTTCAATTGCATTTCTATATATACACAGGTTTAGTTTCTTCGAAACAAAAATGTCAATGTTGTGATCCATAATGAACGGGACTTCAATGTCCTTTGTGTTCGTGCACTACAAAAATTTACACTTTTGGCGACCAAATTTGGCGAGTAAAACAAATTTAGTCGCCAAAAGTGTAACAATAGGCGACTAAAAAAATGATTGGTCGGCCTTAACATAGATTTTAGGCTACTAAATTTTTTTAGTCGTGGTATATTAATTTTTGCCGACTAAAAAAAATTTAGTCGCCAAAAGTATAACAATAGGCGGCAAAAAAAAAAACAATTGGTCGGAGTTAGTTTAGGATTTAGGCTACTAAATATTTTTTAGTCGAGCTATATTAATTTTTTCTGACTAAATAATAATTTAGTCGCCAAATAATAATTTGCAAGTTTAATTTAGTTTTCAACGACCAAAAAATTTGTCGCTAAATATGTATTTTTAGCAACTAAAACCATTTAGTCGGCAATGGTGTTACACTTTTGGCGACTAATTTTTTTTTTTCGGTGTTAGTTCATGTTTTGGCTACTGAAATAATTTTAGTCATCATTTGTTAAAACCAGAATGTAATTAGCACGTGTGGATTGGGAGTTAGAGCCGAAAACGCCTTATATTAAATCGAAAAAAGGGCATTAAGGGGGCGAAAATGCAAACAAACCCCTGAACCACCGTAGGGATGTCATGGCTAGCTTCCCCATGACAAATAGGACCTGTGACAATAGATGAAATGTAATTAGCACACATAGGTTGGGAGTTACAGCTGAAAATGACTTAAATTTATTCGAAAATGGGAGAGTTTGACATCCAATAAATATTCAACATTTTGATTGTAAATGGTGTCATTGTTTCATCAGACATGGTGGTCCTTTGGGTGGTAAACGTATTAAGAAAGCATGATATGGTTATGGAGATAACTTCGTAGATTACTCATTTATTTTACTTTGACTAGGAAAATGGGAATGAAGTGTTAAAATAAATTTACAAGCAAAACATTCTACCAATAAACATATATTTTATGAAGAGGTATGCTTCTAAAAATTGTATTTTTTGTAAATTGAAATCAAGTTTGGAATAAATCTTTCATCATACATACATATGATTGTATTTCGAAAAAGGCTTTTATAGATTGTTCTACCTTAAATGCATGTTATTTCAACCTTTTTTCCTATGTCTGAAGTAATTGATATTTTGTAATGGGTGTTATTTTTTTGATTTTTTGTAGATGGCTTTTGGCATGGACTTGTGGATAATCAATTTTTGTGTATGGAGGACACTTGACACTTTTGTATAATTCTGCTAACTATGTTGTCCTCTGCTTTTGTATAGATTAGTATTACTGATACAGATAACTTTTATAATCCAATTGATAGTTACTGGCGTGGCATATAGATCACTTTTTGTCGTGGTACAGATTACGATAGTAATTTGTACCATGCCAAATGGCCATTTCATATATATTTTTTTTGTATATGGAGGGTTGGATTTTAGTATGCTTCTCTATTTTGTGTGGAAATATAATTTTAGTTTGGACAATAGTTGGTTTGTATGGAATATATACATTTACAGTTATTCATTTTTGGATGGTTGGAAGTAATTTGGATTGTGGGATGATTGATAAAATATGTATTGTTTTGTTTATATACATATTACAGGTTATATGGAATATAGACAGGTTGTGGAGAAATTACAATTTTATGATAAAATATAAGATCATTTTTTTGGTGACTAAACAATTCGTACTAAAAAAGGAAGCACATATTTCAGTGACAAAAATGTTCGTAGCTAAAACTTAATAACAAATTTTGGAAAACAATTACGGCGACTACAAAGCTTACTGCCAACAAAAAGCAAACATTAGGCGACTAAAACTTAAAAAATAATTAGACATTTGGCGACTAAAATATTTTGTAGCCAAAAAACAAAAAACATTTTCTGACTATAAGTTTAGTAGTGAAAAATGTGAAACTTTAGCTAACTAAATGTTTGGTAGGCAAAACAAACTATTCGTGTTATGACCCTAACCCGCCCCTATGGATTAAGGTCACAACCGGCCAGTAATCAAGAGATTACCTACGGCCTCAAACCTAATAAAACATATTTCAATAGAGTCAAGGGGCCAAAACGGAAGCAAACTTAAAATTTTTATCCATAGAGCTGTGCTTACATGGCACATCATAATATCTCACATATACTTGTCAATAACCCACACCAGGAAACGTAACATAGAATTTTACACATACAGGATTGTTCAAGTCATAGTCAGCCAAACCAAAAGCTTATAGACAAAGGTGATGTGACATGTTCACCAAGATAACAAAAGAGTAAACAAAAGAAACAACAGTGTCTCGTGCGTGAGACATTCGGGCTGACTCCACAAAAGATGACTTTCCTCACATACTTCACTGAGGCTGGATTTGGACATCTCTTTGCTCACCTACATACACATGAATGAGAGTGAGTGAAAGCCCAGTGAATAATATCAAATAAAGAAAGTACATGAATGAAATTTGAAACAGACGTATCAAACGGCCTTGGACCCATCCATGTTTTTATCTGGTATATTAACAGCTTCAAGCCCAAACATATCAAACGGCCTCTGGCTCACTTTGCTCCTAACAGATGGCCTCGGGCCCAATTCATTCATGTCAAACGGCCTCGGGCCCAATTCACTCTTGTCGAACGACTTTTGGCCCAATCATTCCCATCAAACGGCCTTTGGCCCAATCATTCATGTCAAACGGCCTTTGGCCCAATCATTCATGTCAAACAGCCTTTGGCCCATCATTCATGTCAAACGGCCTTTGGCCCAATCGTATATGAAATGCGCATTCGTACTTGAGGTCATAATCACATCATAATCATAATTGTAATCCAACGGCCTTATCCAATCATACGGCATAACAAATATTTGTCCACAATTCAAATTAACAAACCTATGAAACTCAAATAGGAGTAAGCAATTGGATAAATAGCATTCTTCAAAATATCTTTACTAAGACATTACTCATAGTGTTCTGCTGGTGGATTCGTCCTTGTGCTCGACCCTACATAATACATAACACATATTGGGTCACAAACGATTCAATCCGTTCTTAATTTATTTATTTCTTTCTCTTAAGCCTCTTTCTTATCCTTTTAGGTCATATACAAAGCTCAATGCATGCCTAAGAGTGCTTAGAAATGGAAAAGAACGGAAAATGAAACACAAAACAACCTTTTCAAAATTTCTGAAACAGGGCTCTCCTCTCGAGCGCAGCTTCTGCCGCTCGAGCGGACCCCTTTAGCCTGCAAAAGTACTGGCTACTTCATTTTTGCGCTCGAGCGTGACTTTGGACGCTCGAGCTGAGAGTCAAATATGTGACTGGACACTCGATCGTATCTCTCCCCCGCTCGAGCGGATATCAATGTCTGTAAAACTTTTGGGAGCTAACATTTTACGCTCGAGCGGCGCTTTCCCCGCTCGAGCAGACCCGACGAATTTTGGAATTTTCATATTGTTCTTGAAGCTCAAACTCAACCCAAAAAGGCTCCAAAACTCATGTTTTTGATACAAAAGCATAGAAGGACATCATATAACACAAGAACATAAGTAATTGGGACCAATTGACTAAAATCATGATCCACCTCATAAATTATCTTGAATTCTCTTCATAAATTTCAAAACTCATGCATTCAACCTCACACAAACTCCATATCTTCATCAATCATGCATGCATGTTAAGTTTTGACTCCAATTCTATTTCAAATGGTACAAATAATACTTATAATCATGAAACTCATGAAAATTATGCATGCATGTTAAATTTGGTGCTCAATTCTTCATGTTCATCATGCCTCATCCTTGATTATGCAAATTCATGGCAATTCATGGCAATTCCAAACATGCATGTGCATATAGACTTCAATTTCATCATAATCAACTTAATTCTTGCCCTCACTTACACATCTTGCTTGAATTCACTTATTTATGAATTTAATTTCATGAAGTTGAGCTCAAATACTCACATAGAAGCTCCAATTCTCACAAATGTAGATAAATCTTGTACCAATTGATTTAGTCTTCCAATCTCTTAGCAAAATCTTTAATTTTGACCTCTCTCTCTCTCTCTCTCTCTCTCTCTCTCTCTAGAGTACATAATCAAATTTTGAGCTCAAAAAAAGAAGTTAAATGTGTTTGGCCCCCCTTATAAACACATCTATAATCAAGTTTCATTAACACTAGTTAATTAAGCACAATTAAATCAATTAAATCTAATTAATTTGATCCAAATCAGTTTTCAATTAAATTTCATCGTAGGCTCTAAAAATTACGCAAATCATAACGGCGTAGCCAATTTCAGTTTCTGATGCCTCAATGGCCTTCAATTTAAATTCTAAAACAGAAAATCAAACAGATTTTCCTACTGTGAACAGATAGAAATACAAAAACGCATATAATCATATAATTATCACTTAAAACCATATCAAGCATATAATCACAATCATAATTAAGATCAATTAGCACAACACGGGATAGGGTTATCACAATTCGGCTACTAAAAGCTTAGTAGCCAAAAAAGTCAGACTTTTAGCGACTAAAAAATTGGTAGGCAAAAAGAAAACCAGACTTTAGGCGACTAAAATCTTAGTAGCCAAAAACAAACTAATATTTGGTGACTAAAATATTTTGTAGCCAAAAAAATTTTGATGAACAAGAAAAACACTTTTGTCGACTACAATTTTAGTAGCAAAAAATGTAACACTTTAGGCGACTAAACTTTTAGTAGCTAAAACACAATTACACTTTAGGCAACTAATATATTTAGTAGCCAAAAAAATAATAGGAGGAACCAAAAAAAATTTGGCGACTAAATCTTTAGTAGCTAATATAAGCAATGTTTTTCGTGACAAATATTTTTAGTCACTAAAAAGGTGATATTTAATTTTTTTCAATACTTTTGGCGACTGAAAAATTAGTCAGCATTGCATTATATTTGGCGACTAAAATAATTTTAGTTGCCAATTACCTTCTCCGACAATCCTTTAGCGACTACTCTTGCGACCAAAATATTTAGTCGCTAAAAATTTTTGGCGACTAAAAATTTAGTCGCCAAAAGTGTAAATTCTTGTAGTGGTGGGGTAAGCCCACTAATCAAATTTATTTGCTTCTTATATTTTTTCTTAATAATTTTTGCTTATTTTTTGAAAAGCAAAGGCAAAGGCAAAGTTAAAGGTAAAGGTAAAGGAAAATGAGAAGCTTAAAGGAAAATTTGACATAAATACTACTTAAGAAAAGGAATAAAAAATAAACAAGTGGTTTGGCTCTTTTCAAGTTCGTTTTGGAGCTTGTGTAAAGAAAATCATGGAGAAATGTGATACTTAGAAGCATGCATAATCGAAGTGTAATTTTTTTTACTACAAAGTTTGTGAAGATAGGCATGGTGCTTTTAATCCTTAATATTACTAATTTTCAAACTAAATTATGCATCCTTAAAAACAATACACTAGAAAAAAATTATGAAGGATCTTTTACAAAGATATATAAAATTTTACAAATAGAAGAGAGAACTAAAGTTTAAAAAAGAACACAAATGATGAAAGAAGGAAATAAATTGAAACTATATTTTAATTAAAATTGTGTATAAATTATGATCAAGTCAAATTTTTGTAGGATTGGGTTGAAAAAGCTATGGAGCTCAATAGGATAAATAAGACCACATTGCTCCAATGGAATTGTAATAAGGTATTTGTAATAACTCAACCCTCTCATATGCTTAAATCCCTCATTAGATGTGTGATTATATGTGTGCTTATATGTTTGATATGAAATTCCATGTTTTAATGTGTGAATTACATGTTTATGGAATTGTATCTGTCGGTTATTAGAGCATTTGTTGAAATTGCAACCTTTGGATTAAAATTGGAAGCCTTAGAGGCGCAATAACCAGAAATTGACTTTACAGTTATGATGAGCATGATTTTTAGGACATAATATGAAGTTTTGTAAAAATTTAATTCGTAATGATTTAATTGACTTCATTTGACTAATTTCCTAATTTAGTTCTATTTTGACTCAAAGCTTAAGAGGGATAGATATATCCACAAGAGCCTTAGGAGACTTAGACAAATACCATATAAAAATATTTCCTGGAGGAAATATAGAGGAGAAAGAAGAGAAGAAAGAGAGAGAATAAGAGGGATTCAACATAGGAGCTTGGAGATTGGGGAAATTGAAAGAAGATTCAAGGAATTAGCTCAAGGTAAGTGGAAATCACCTAGAATACCTCTCAATCTTACTTCAATTGAGTGAAAGAAGACCTAAAATGAAGCTTTGGTACTCATGGAAATTAGGGTTTATGAGTTATGAACTTGATTGAACAAATCTCATGAAAGTGAACATGTAATTTTTACATTTTGTTTGATTTATGAGTTGATTCCTTCATTTTGAGTTTGATTTGAGTTGGATTCTAAGAAATTGCTATCTCATCTTATCTCTTGCATGCTTTGAGCTCATGTATATGTATATATATATGAAAAGATGAAAAGTTAAAGAAATGAAGGCAAAATGGAGATTAGGGTTTTATATGTCAATAAAAAGAAGT